GGGTTAGCGCGGGTTAGAGCGGGTTAGTGTGAGTTAGCGCAGGTCAGTGCTGGTTAATGTGGGTTAGTGAGAGTTAGCACGGGTTAGAGTGGGTTAGTGCGGGTCAGTGCGGGTTAGTGCGGGTTAGCGCAGGTTAGTGCTGGTTAGTGAGGGTTAGTGCTGGTTAATGCGGGTTAGTGTGGGTTAGCACGGGTTAGTGCGGATTAGTGTGGATTAGTGTGGGTTACTGCGGGTTATTGCTGGTTAATGCGGGTTAGCGTGGGTTAGTGTGGGATAGTGCTGGGTTAGTGCTGGTTTAGCGCGGGTCAGTGCTGGTTAGTGCGAGTTGGTGCGGGTCGGTGCGGGTCAGTGCTGGTTAATGCAGGTCAGCGCGGGTCAGTGCTGGTTAGTGTGGGTTAGTGCGGGTTAATGTGCGTTAGCGCGGGTCATTGCGGGTCAGTGCTGGTTAATGCAGGTCAGCGGGAGCCAGTGCTGGTTAGTGCTGGTTAATGCTGGTTAATGCGGGTCGGTGCTGCCCCAGCGGGGCCCGAGCAGGGTGCGGGTTCGGCGGGGGGACCCGGGCCCTGTTCCCCTCCGGSTGTCCCCTCCCTCCCTCAGCCCAGCTCAGGCATCCTCTGCTGCGGTTCTCAGCCGCGATTGGGGCAAAGCAGGACAGCGACAGGGATGAGACCTGGCCTCGGCTCCACCTCCAKGCAGGAGGGTTTGGAGCCCACAGCCCAGCCAGGCTCACTTCTCCGAGATGAAAAAAGAGGGATTCCCCACCCATCAAARGGTTGTGCAAGGACCGATAGGAAACACTTTGGATCTGCGGATGAAAGGGTTGGAGAGGAACAAACCGCTGCCTTGCTTTGAGCAGGAAAAGCCCTGCGTGAATCCTGAGCACTTCTATTGGTGGCCCAAATGTGTCGCAGGCTTAGAAAAGGTAAAACCAGGAACTTTCTCCCGCTTTTTATTCTTGCTGATATGTCACACCAGAGCCCGTGCTGGGTGCTCTGAAGGTGCAGGAGGTGACAGATCCCTGCTGGGTGTCACCAAGTGCTGGTTCCCCACCCGCTCCCATCTCTCCGCGGCCGGCACCAGCCGGGGTCACCCGGTTAATGCACGTTTCAGCCCTCATTGCCTTTTTAACCAGTTTTTAATCAGTAATTATTAGCGAGCGGGAGCGGTGCGCGGGCTCCTGTCACCCTCTCCCGGGGCGAGTGCCACTCCGTGTGTCACAGCAATTACCACCCAGTGGCAGCAGCAAACTGGGGACTGGACATTGTCCGGTGCCCAAGCTGCCAGAAATGCAGCACGGGGTGGGAATGTGCCCAAATTTCATCACAACTGACCCTGCCAGGGTTGAGATGTTCATGCTGGGGAGGGCAAGTTGGGGACCTGTTCTTGCTGCCATCATGGGACACCGTGGCTTTGAGGACGAGGATCTTTCAATCATCGTGTAAACAGACTTTAATGTCACAAGGACAAGGGAAACGTCTTTGAGCTGAAGGAAGGCAGATTCAGATTGGATATTGGGAAGAAGTGACCCYGKCACAGAGAAGCTGTGGCTGCCCCYGGATCCCTGGCAGTGCCCAAGGTCAGGTTGGATGGGGCTGGGAGCACCATGGGACAGTGAAAAGTGACTGTGCCCATGGCAGGGGTGGCACTGGATGGTTTTTAAAGTCCCTTCCAGCCCACCCCAGTCTGTAATTCCCTGATCAGCCATGCCCTGCAGAGCAGGAGTGCCGGAGCAGCGGTGCAGCAGCCCGGCCCGGGGGAGCTGCTCTGTGCCCATTTTTGCCGTGCAGGTAAATAGCAAAAGGAGCTTTGAGCAGAGCCAAGCGCGGTGCCCTTTGCAGAGCGCTAATGAATTACAAGTGTCTCTCCTTAGCCAGGAGCTGCCACCGCCTCGTGACCAGCGGCAAACTGCAGCCCTTCCAYGTGTGCAGCGGCTGGGATTGCTCATTTCTGCTGGTATTTCGTGTCATTGAATGCAGAATGGCAAAGAAAGGTGGGTTTTTTTGGGGTGGGTTTCAGGGTTTCAGTGCTCCCAGGCTGGGTGGCATCCGGGCTGGAGCCACCGCAGGGACCSGTACCCAGTGGAACAAATGAGCTTTAAACCCCTTTTATTATTCTCTATTAATAACGAGGCGGCCCTTGTAAATAGCCGTGAAAGGGAGCGCTTAAGCTCATAATTAATAAATGCTGGCTTGGTTTCTGCTGCTGAACCGCAGCCTYGAAGTGTGTGATGAGGGATCCGCAGCTCTGCCGAGGGGCACAGGGTGCTCGAGTCCTCTGAGCAGTTTGATAAATCTGGGATTGTCCCAAGACTCTGGGATAGTCAGGACAGTCCCTGTGGCTTGGGGTACAGCAGAGCCTTTGGGACAGGACAGGGATGGGATGG